CAGTTAGGTGCTGTGCTTCTGTAGTGGAAGACAAGATTAAGAAGTATCAAAATTAAAACCTAACAGTAAAGTTTCAGATGAGAACTATGATTACAAATGCTGAGAACAGGCACATAGATGTTTGCAATGTGTGCTCTACCTTACGTAAGGAAGATTGGAGGTCCTCTCTCCTACCAGAACCTAAGCCCTTTACAAGAAAGCAAAGGCAGGTGAGTGATGGTCATTCCTTAGGAACTGAAGTGGATATTATGTAAGCCAATTAGCAAATTCTGTTCAGGAAGTCGTTTAGAGGCTGGCATATTAAAGCAAAAAAAATCAGTTAAACCTTGTTATGCTCAGTGTAGTCTGGCAAGTTTAGTCTATGTCATCAACAATACACAAGCTGATGATTAACTGGGAAACTTGTTAATGTCTTATTCACAAAAGCATTCAGGGTTTCTTTGAAATGGTTCTGTTGCCTCTCTTGATCCTCCAGCTAATTTCAGCTCAGCAGTTAGGTTCAAGTGTCAGTGATGTCATCACATAGCAAGAAAAGGGCTTGGTTATAAAGTTTTATCTATGTGCTTATCCTTTTCTCAGCTGTATTGCAGCTCTTTCCTGTCTCGTGGATCTGACAGGAAAAGGCTGCTCTGAAGGTAGACAAAAACACAAGTAGAAGGGCATGTGTGACTAAAAACCCTCATGATCAAGAGGAGAAGTAAGGGAGAATGAGAAGTAGTCTAACAAGTCTCAGGATGTAAAGACTGAGAAACAGTAGAGAATTGTTAATTTAAAAAAAGTTCATTGTCTGGTCTGATGCTTTCTGTGCTATCTCCTCATTAACACAAAGTTGATTTCCTTCAAGGTCCCTTAACTCCTCTACTTTTATTAAAATCAAGGACATAAGCTGTTATGTATTCTGTAAGTTGTACACAAAACTGATTTCCTGCTGAAATTTCCATTGTTTCCCCATCTTTCTTGTCACTGTTTGTTTGGATTGCCTTATGTGGAGAAAATCAATAGACAAGCATATTCTAGGAAAGCCCCTCATTGTAAAAAGCTTTAAAATAAAAATAAAACAATAAAATAGAGCTCTTCTTCTGTCTGCTTCTTTTATGCAAAGCTGACTGTTGATTTGCAGAATACTGTGTTATGATTGAAAAAAACAATAGTCTATGCATAATAATAGGAGAGTTTGATTAGAAAAGATTTTTGACAGGCAATAGGACCTGTTTTGATTTTTTTTTTTTTTTTTTTACTTTCTTACTGTAATCCTGATAAACAATTTAATTACTCTTCTCTTGGCTATATTACTCTTGGACAGTGTCAACCTTTAAAGGGGCTATTTAGTTCCAGTGAAGGCTAGATTCATTATTAGTGAGCCATAGCCTTCATCAAACCAGAGACAGTGTTAATTGCACTATCCATTTCTTTAGTGATTAAAAGACAGATAAATCTAGGGGTTGAGTGAAAGCATTTTAACAACAGATGAAGCTTATTTATCTTCTGCTTTAGATTTTTTCCTTTCACTAGTATAATTTTGTTTGAACATCAGAGATACTTACTCATAAGCACTGACTCTATATGGTAACAGCATGACAGACTTCATTTCTCACTAGCATCATATTTAGCAATGAATGGTGCTGAATTACAGAAACTTCAGAGGGGGTTTTGAAGTAGATTTCTTTCTCTTTCTGTGTTTGCAGTTGTTGGTATTGGAAAAGGAACAAAAATGCTGAGGACTATGTTGGCAGGTTCCAAGGTAAGGAGTGCTAAATGACTTGTATTAGTGGGGGTTTTTATTTGTTTATTTTCATTTTTTCTTCCAATGAAGAGCTACATCAACATACAAATACCTCAACTATCCTGTGTATTTAGTTCAGTTTGAATGTGTACTTCAGTTCCTCTTTGTATTTAGTCAGAATTTGACATGAAGACTTTTACCTCCAGAATGGTTATTTTAAATTCTTTGTTTCTCTTGGTTGTTCTAGAAAATTTTCTAAAAAAATTTTCTTTCTAAGAAAGGCCAAATTCCTGTTTTTCAGGAAGATTCCTGTAATATTTCATGTTTTCAACAAAAAAAAGGGAGAAAAGTTGTAATGAAGATGGTAGTGTAAATCATGTTTTTGGGATGTCATTGTGTATAGTTATTCAGTTTCTGGTTGTTTGCTTGATGTGCAGATAACATAATTGTTATTTAGCTTGCAGTAACAGATGTTTTTTGTTTCTTTTCTATGTTTTTAAATACCATAAGGCCTTAAAGAGCCACCCGATGGAATTGAGTGTTATGCCTTGATGATAGTACCTATCATTCCAGGCTGCAGCTCTTGTAGATGGGTGCTCCGCAAATGCATGGATAAGCACATGTAAGAAGCCATGAGATAATCCAGACTGGAGCCTTGGCAAACAGCAATCTTACTCATTGCTGCTTTTGATTAGTTGTACTATGTCTTTGGTGAGTGCACTGCTGATTGTAGGTGTTACACAAACCAGTGCAGATACTCCCAAGAAAAATCTACCACTGTTGATTCCTTCTTTGCAATTAAATTCCCATTGTTTTAGCCATTATTTTTAAATGAGAAGTTTAGGTAAGAATGAGAAATGCAAAAATCATTTAAGCCTTCCAGATTTCATCTATACTCAGGGGAACTCAATAGTGGGCTCAGAAAATGGATAGCCTTTCTAATGCATTTTATTCTGCTACTTTTCACATTCTCTTCTAAGCTCTTTACAGGTGCTAAACTGTTAAGTTCAACTCAAAGGAAAATAAGTTGACAGAAGAGAATACAGTCAGGATAAAAATGCACAGCTGTAGAATCTGATCCAAAACTTTTGTATAGTCAGCATCAGTCTCTGCACTGGTTATAATGGGTTTGCACTTCATTTATAGGACCAGGTTTCAGAGGCATTTGCATTTTGAAACATGTAGTAAGCAGCTGGAACTGATTTACAGTGGAAGTGTAGGCAGTTAACACCTGGCATCTCCTTTCGAAGAACTTTTAACTTAAAAAAAAAAAGGCATTTAGATGTTCAGCTAAATGAGGTCATCTTAGCTAATTGTGTGAGAATTGTTGATTTAGAAACGTGTAAACCAATTGAAGTACATCTGAAGCTGAAGTTCACAGTGGAAACAGCTGTGATGGATGAAGTAGTTTAAACCATTTGGCAGAAGAGGGTGTGTGTATGCTCCTTAGTGACTTCACTGTGAAATCATGTAGCCAGTAGGAGTGTTGTCTAGCCAAACATAGTGCTCAGGTAGCTCAGGAAGGCTTAAAGCTGCAGCCGAGGGACAAGGGGGAGGAACTTGGGAGAAATGGGCAGTGGGGGCAGTCCTGTAAGCTATCCTGTCTGGATCAATTGGCTCTCATCTGGCCTTAGACTGGGTTGTGGGCACATGATTCAATGAGGCAAGCAGTTACATCGTTGCAGTGCTCTTCTGCTGTGATTGTTGGTGTGTTCTGATGTGGTGGGGAGTGGGAGGTAGCTGCCATCTGGGCCAGGTGGCGTGGTGGGCATGAGCCTTCATTTGGAGCTTGTCTTGTTTCTGCTCTTTATTTATATGAGGCATACAGTAGCTTGAGAGACTTAAGGAAGTTGAGAGGTCTCCCAGAGTTATCTGCCTGTTTGTTTTTTTGACTTCACTGACAGCAAAGGCTCATAATGTAGTGCAAGTTCTGCTACAGATAAATCCATGGCCATCTAAATAGATTCAAGTATTTTTTTGCATCCAATGTGCTAAGAGTTCATGTTCTTATTTAATTTTTATTACTGCTGTGAATGTTTTTAAGATGTTTTTCTTTTGTTCCTTTTGTTGCTATAAAGATTCAGATGAACTGCTTGAGCCTCTCTGCTTTGAATTTACTGTTTGGTTATAGGAATATATCTTATAAAGGAGTAGTTCAGTCTATCATTGTTGGCAGCAGAGCTGTGCTGAGTGGCCAAAACGTATGTTGCTGCAGTAAACTCCATATGGTGGCTCTGCTAGGGATTAGACTATTTCTGATTTTTTTTCCAAACATTGTGTGAAACTTTCCTGACTCTGTGGCAGCTCTAAGCACTATCACTCAATTTTGCAACTCGTACACATTTTACAAGGAGTGTTACTCAGTTTAAATCTAGTTCTCCATTGGTTTGACCTCCTTATGAATTAACTAAAAAAAAAATAGGAATGTGCAGCTAAGAGCTGTACCTACTTAGTCTTCCAGATTTCTCATTGAATTCTTAATATTTATCCAGAAATAAAAATATATGCAAGCTGGCTTAGGTTTTGTTTGTTTGCTTTATTCTGTTTCAAATGTTTGAACTGAAGAGGAGAAGCTGAATCCTGGTGGATCTGGAATTTAAATACTGGGCATTTAACATGTGTTCCATAGGAGAATCACTTTTCCTTCTTTTTTTTTGGCACTTTGACTTATTCTTGCTTGGACTTTTTGCACTGCATTATTTTTATCATGCTTGCAAAATAAAGGTAGTAGATGAGAAAATATTTCCTGCTTCACCAGGAAAATGAGTATGATAGGAGTGGACCAATTTTTGTTATGGTAAATTGTTTCTGAACCACTCAGTCTTATGGCTGACTAGTCTGTCTCAAACACAGTGTAGAAGTGGTTGTTTTTTTGGGAGGGAAATGAGTTAGAAAATGCTAGGTAGCAGCACAGTTTCCAAAGCTGTAATCCTGTTTCACAGCCTCATCTACCAGAATGTTCTGTTACATAGAAGAAATGAGGGAAGAAATGATCAGGGGCTTGTCAGAGAAGAGAAAAAGGAAGAGCAATGTGCAAAAATAATGTTCATTATTCTAATACTTTCCATTGGGAGAAGATATCTTCTAACACATATAGCCTTTATTTTTAGCTGGGATAAAACAGAATAATTGAAATTTTCAGACTTCAGTTCTGTGCTTAATTTGTCTTTTTCAGTGAGATAACATCTGGGCTCACCCTAAGAGAATTTGAGTCATAATAGTGTGAATGAAGCCAGAACTTGGCCATCCATCAAACTGCTTGAAATCACTGCCTCTCAATGAAGAGAGAAAGCAAAGGCATATTGGTTTTATCTGAGGGTGCAACTTCTTGTACAGTCTGAAACCCCAGGTGCTCAGTCATGTGAGAGGAATTGCTTGAGTACTTTGCACTGGTTGCACAGCCTTGGGGAAGGGACTAGCTAAAATAGAAATTTAATCTCAAAAGCTGTGGCTTCCCCAGACTGAAACACTATAAAAAAAATTAAAAAATCACTGGATGAGTAAAACACAAACTCCAAATGATCACAAGAACTAAAAAGATAAAAAAAGATTATGGGCAGAATGAAGATAAATCAGTGACCTGATATGTGAAAACCTCTGTTTATGTTAAAATTTGAGTTCTTCTGCATCTATGATAGAAAATGAATGCTAGTTCAGTGCCCAGGACTCAAAACTTGCCAGTCACACTTGCATCCCATGAGAGTGTGCATGCCTGAGCAGGAATTGCTTCAAATCACATAAGAGAATTTCTGAGAGACATGTGAGTCACTTCTTGCAGTGTCATTCCAATATTAGAGTTTGTATATTGTGAAGTTTTTTCTCTCAAGGGTTGGCACCAGATGCTGTGAAACAAGGTGTTCATAAAGGAGATTGTTTCTTTACCTCCTGTGATTATCTTACTGTCCTAAAAATTAGGCTTTAATTTGTATCTTTTAACTTATCAAACATGAAGGTTGCTAGCTTTCTCCATTAATTAATTTTTTTTAATGAAGTACTTAGCTTCCATCTTTTGGCAGTTAGTTCAAGGAATTAATAATACATTAAAAAGCACATTTAGTAGCTCTATAAAGAGCAGAACTAATGAAGCATTTTCTTGTGACTTCGTTTGTTTACAGCTCGTTAGACACCAAAGCCCCATGTGGACTCTTGGTATCCCATACTGTGAGGCTCCCTCTGGAGCCTTTTTCTTAGTGGAAACTATAATGGATTTATTTTCTCTATTTTCAGGAGGCTTCGAAGAACTCGGCATCTCTGAGACTTCTATTTTTCTGCCAGCACTTGTGTATTTGCACATTAGCCGTGATGGTGAAAGCACTATTTCCTTAGACATCCAAATTCCCTTTTAAAAGATGTTTGTGGTGTCTTTTGTTTTTGTTTTAAATGTATGTCAAAAGCAGTTTGCCTCAATTCATATATTTGAGTTACGAGTGCAAAAAAATTGAGTTGACTTTCCTTTTGGAAGATCCTCTTGGTGGTGTGTGCCCTTAATCTTAAAAATTTATTTACAGCATCACCAGCTGAGCTCTTTGCTTCGTTGTGCTTTCTTTTGTAGCTGGTAAAAGCAAGTTACTTATTCATACAGTGCATAGTGTTGTTTTCTGTTTTCTTTTTTAATATTCTGATAACTTTAACGTTCTTTTGGAAGGGCAAGGTTTGTGGGTAGTGGTAATATTAGTGGTAATATAGTTTTTATTAAACTAATCAGTATAGTATGGAAAATTAGGTATTTGGACATGAAAGACCTTTCTGAGACCTAAAATAGAAGCTATGGATTTTAAAACTAAGTGTGTTTCGGATTTGTATAAGGTTTAGTGAAGTAGGCATCCTACCATTTCTAAAATAAAAAGTAGCTACTGTTTCAGTGTGGTATACCAACAATTCTGGGTGGGCAAACAGTTACAGGTAGGATCCCAAGACCATTCCAGTCAGATGACCTATATTTCATTGCCTGCTTCAATAAAATAGAGTAAGAAAACAATTTATCTCCTGTGTGGGGTTGCAAAGGTTTTGTTCACAAC